ATGTGGCCGCTTATGGATGACCAAAACTACTAATATTATTTCATAATACAAATTAGTATACGTATTTGATATGCTACTTCATAATAGAAGGTTTCATTGTGTCATATATTTATTTTGTATTATTACAGTAAAAGCATTTAAAAAGTTAATAGACTAGACTAGGTAGTGTCTACCTAAAATGATTTTATTTAGCCTTGGCAACTTGTTGGAGAAGGACAGATCACTACTTCGAGCTATCTCACGTGTCTCGGTATTTTACTTTTACTTAAAATACCCTTAACATAACCCAATAAGGTGTAAATTTGTAATATTGATATACCAATATTACAAATTTAGCGAAGTGCGCGATGCACTTTATGAAATATATAAATCCGTGGCTAATTGTGACTGCAATGAGGCGTGCGCGTGTCATAATGGTGGCGCTGTAACTGCGCTTCTAAATATTGTCGCGCCACAGTGGCCGCTGTAGCGTCTAATTTGAAGACGCACTTACACTCTTCTTCGACAAATTTTGAATCAGCAAGCGTCTTAATAGAACAATGCATACCCAACAAACAAAGTGGCGATTACAGCGAATATTTTCAGAGCCTTAAGTCTTATAGTAGCTTTACAGGGCCTACAATAGCACTTTTTGGTGGCAACATGGAGATAAATCAAAACATTAATCAACTGACGGTTGTAAAGTGATTTAATAGAAATAAGAAAAAATTGCTTATAGCTGTAAAGTGGTGCTTTATATCACCTTAACTTTACCTAACTTTAGGCAAAAAATACGGCTATTTTAACTCTTTATTATCTCTTTTGGTAATAATAATAATAATAATAATAACACACACACTCAACATAGCCCCGCACTAGGGAAAACCCTAAAATAAGAGTCGTTGCTGCATTATACCACTTATTTACTACTAATGAAATTATCTCGGCGCCTAATTCGGACTATAAGAGAGTTATAGCGTGCTCTATCGCAAAATTTTGGGCCGTGCTCCAGCTATAGGTGTTTAATGGAACTATTAAACAGTGGTTATAAAACTTGTTTTATCGCCGAATTCTCAGTTGGGTATACACATTGTTCCTTAAATACGTGACTTGGAAAACGACTGTCAAGAACAGTGAGTTTATTGTTGATCTGCCTTTTTAACCCCCAGCGCAAAAAAGGGGAGTTACAACTTTATAAATTTGTTTGTCAGTGGTATCGTAGCTCCGAAATGGAGAGACTGATATTTTAGTAGCTGTAGAGCTCCTTGTGATAGAGTTCGTCCTCACCTTCCCTATTTCAGCCGCATTAGGGCTAAGGCTAAGGGTGCTGGTCAAATTACAGGCACTTGGGACTTGTCAACTTATGTCTCAGGGCGACAGACGCTCTCTAAAAGCTCTGAGTAGGCGTGTCGCGCGTTAGTCCTATCGGCGTCGGCTTGATATTAAAAAAATAAGTTTTTTTATTTATTTGAAGGCTAATTTAACCACCTATTCAAATGTTCAAATAGTTTTTTCTCAGTTGGCTCAGGGAATTCAGCCATAAATTTAATATTTTGTTGGTATTTTTTTAGAAAAGGCGAAAGCGCCATTCCGAAATTTATTTCTAGTGAGCATGTTTTAGTTTTTCACGATTGTTTTAAATATTTACGTCCTGTTTTAAATTAAATTTTAAAACTCAAATTTAAAACAGGACGTAACTATTTTAAAATAGTCGTTCTAACTTAAAACATGCTCCTTTATTTTGTTTCAAAATGATGCTTTCACCTTTTCTACAAAACACAGACAATTTATTTTATTTCTACTTGTCTAATCGACTTGAAATTTGTTATAAATGGAAATACGACGACATTATAATGAAATGGTAGTCTTGATCCTATGCTGCAACCAGGATAGTTTAAACTACCCAACTCTTAAACTATTCTAGAAGAGAAAGGCTCATTAAATTAGTTTCGACGAGTTGTTAACTCACGGATGGAACTATATTGGACTTTTTGGAGTACAATGTTTCGTATTGGGGGTTTGAATTTGAATTTAATGTGTTAGAATTATTGAAGAAAGATCGAACACTTAGAAAAAAAATTCTTTGATCAGCTGGACTTTCATAAATTTCTCACAGATGGCGCTACGGCCAAAAGTCATTAAAACCAAAACGAAGATCTGCAACAAACATATGGAAAAATTCGTGAGATCCATTGGTTCGTTGCGTAATCCGTGACTTAGTTGGCACAGCGTCTAGCACGATTTGCTAGGAGACGTTGGTTCGAATCCAGCCAGATCGAAATGATTTTTGTTCTAAGTTTTTAATTATTATAACATAGTGGAGTAATTTCATAAAAAAATAATAGAATATCATGGGGGTGAAACCGCTTGACATTCAATAAAACTTAATTAGTGTTGTACGTGTCAACGTACATTATTGCGCAACTGGCAATGTGCAATCCAGCTCGAAGGGCCAACATGTACGAGCTGCTTGTTTCGTACAGTAATATGTCAGAATATGTCAGGTGATATCAGTGAGATGATGCAAGGAGATGTCAAAGATGTTGTAGCAATAATACTCGACCGATACCACGGAGTAACTTTCTTGTACTAAAATTATAATGTAAATAAATTTTACGTGCCCAATGTAGGGCGCGACGTTGCACATTGTCAGTTGCACAAAAATGTACGTTGACTCCATTGACTTACAAATAAATGGACGACGAGTCTAATACAAAAACCACGAAAAAAATGTCCCAAGTCAACCTATTCGAAATTTAAATTGTAATATCATCGCAGTATCGCGCTGTCAGTCGAACAAATGAAGACTAAAGCGGAGTTTGGCGCTCTGTATACAATTTTAGCGCCTTACAAGTGCGGACACTTTTTAGCGCGGACCCGACTACATGCGTACAAATGTTTACGTCATAATTTTTTTAATTACTTTTATTTAACATAAATGTGATACCAGTGTAACAATGGTAATTGCTAGAAACATATCTCTCAGAGCCACTCTGGAGGCCAGTTTGTAAATTGCTCTAATAGCACATTTACAAAAGTGGAGAAGGGTTCATGTAATACGATTCCCATCGGCTTCCCTACGAAATTGGATAATCTAGGCATAAACTACCCTTATTTCATGGAGTACGGGTCGGGCATAGTGCAGGGCTCCATGTCGTTACAGCAACTCTTTCTTATCTCCGAAGCACCGCCAATAAAAAAATAAGTTTTTTTATATAGATACATTACAAAATATTTCACAGACATCTTTGTGAAATGAAACTATATGACAATGATTGTAAGTTTTTGATTTAAAATATAAGCGTAAATCATAAATGTGACAACGTTGTCGATTATTAGAATAATGAATTGTATACCGACTGTGAACTGGCAACCGCTACTATCTCAATTTTGACAACTTTACAGGATGAAGAAAAAATCATTTATAAAGCATCTGGTTTATTTAATAAAGATACGTAGTGTACATACATACATGTGTAATAAAAATATTTAAAAACTTAGTATTTTTATATAATGAACCAGATGCTATATAAAAGACGCAAATATTTTTTTTTCTTCGTCCTGTAAAGTCGTCAAAATTGAGATAGTACCGATTACCAGTTCACAGTATTGATTCTAAAGGTCCGATTTACAAAGTGCCCCCAATGTTACTAAAAATAAAAGGAGAAAATATATAAATTTATAGTCCATATACGAGAGCGGTTTGATAAATACGTATTTATTACTTTAAATGACTACTAGACTTTAAGTTTAAATAAAAACTTTTTTCTGAATTTATTTTTGTTTCTCTAGAACTCCTTGCAACTAATGTTACTTTTTTTTAATAAGCGCAAAAATAAAACAAGTAAATATAAAAGTTAGATGAGGTCGATCTATTTTTTGAAGATGAAGAAAACGGAATTTCGAGTAGGTATTCCGTTTCTCATCTGCAATCACAACATCAAAAAATGTCGAATTATGATAAAACTTATTACCGCAGCAACCCGTGTTCACCAGATTTGATCCCGTTTGACTTTTTATCTATTTTTTACCGATTTGCATCAAATGAGGAAGTTCCTAATTTGTGGAGGAAGTGATAGCTGAAACTGAGGCCTATTTTTCAGAATTTGACAAAACATTTTTTTGGTGGATTGAAGAAGTGGAATATCGCTGGTCAAGGTATATAGAGTTAAAAGGAGATCACGTAGAAAAATAAACCATAAATTAAAAAAAGTTTCTTCTTCTTCTCAAAGTTAAAGTCCTACTAACCAAACCGCACTCATAAACAAATTCCACCGTACTTAAGAGCGGTGTTCAAATTCATCAAAATTTGAGTGAGTAATAATATAAAATATATTTATAAATATATTTTTACATACGTACATACGATAGTATTCTCGAGGAAATGGTTTTATTTAATGCTTCCTGCAATATTTATTACGTAACAATAAATATAATGTATTATGTTACAACAGAGCCACTATAACACGTGCGCGCATCATAGGCTGGTGTAATAGTACCGTATATGTATATTATGTACTCTTGTACCTTGACGGTTTCGGTTACAACCTTAGTCATTAGATCTGTCTTTAATATGAATCAACTTACATTGAACCCGATTTAAACGGACTTGAAAGTATTAAAGACAGGGACAGAGATGCCTCTTATTTATAACATACACTATCACGTATCGACATAATGATAAGTTGAATTAATTGCTTGGTGAGCTTAACAAGTTGAAAGATGGTTCATCAATTGTCAAATATGATAGGATTTTGCTACCACTTACTATGTAAACCTGATATAATATTAGAGCCTTACAAAGTCATCAAGCCCTGTACTTCTCCTTATCTTTGTTCATGTAAATCGACTGTAGTGATATCCCCTTTGTTTCTTTGATCTCAGTTGTATAGCGATAGGCAGCTTGCCTAGCAATCACAGCGTTTATGCAAAATACGTCAGGTCTTTTTGGACGCGGTTCAGAAATTACAGACCCCCCTATTATCAGATAATAAGAATATATTAATGAAAATTGATTGAAGAAGAATTGATTAGACTTTAATACGAAAATGCTATTTATTTTATTCAAAATTTAAATATTCTGTGAGCAGGACTCTCAGCACAGTTTCAGGATTTCTCAGGATCCACTGTCAATTCCAAAAACACTCTCGCTTGGTTTTCAAGTTTTTGAACCATTTCTTTAGGATATTGGCTCAGTTTTATTCCTAATTCTCTTATAACATGACGCAGTTGCATATGAAATTTGCCACCGCGTCTCATCCACTCTGTGAACGTTCCTAAGAAATTATCAAACGAGTAAGTTTTCCGTTTGTCATAATAAAAGTAGTCCATGTCTGACATAATACCGTGTATTAGTATCATGTCATACCCTTTTGGTAACTCTGCGTTCGTTTTCAAAGTTTCCAATCTGGCTTGTATAGTTTTATACACAGTCAATAAAATATCCTTGGTTTTAGGATTTTTAGAATAACTCAAATCGCTCAAAATAACTTGAAACTCTTGGGTTGTGGTTTCGTCCATAAAGAAAAAGAAGTTGTCAGGCAAAGATTCGTAGAAGAACATCATGAAATCTTTGGCTTTATCATTTGACGCCGTTTGGAATTGCTCCAGCAACGCCGCCAGTGCTGTAGTGCATTCGTAATCTTTTTGACAAATCTGATGTTCTACACATAGTTTCCTCTCAAATCTGCTTTCTACAATAACTATGGCGATGATCAATTTCTGTGATAACCCTTTTCTTACGCTAGCAATCTCGACCGGATCGCCAGCTAATTTTCCAGCGACAAAGTTTTGTGATGCCTCCTGAAATTTTGCACTTATCTTCTTCAACAGCGTTAGCCAAGTGAACGTTTCTGTCTCCTGCGTTATTTCTGAGTCGGTAGTTTCGAGCAAATCATTGATACTGTTCAATAATGGTTTAAGTTCGTCTGCGAAATGTGTTCCTTTATTTTCTTGCAGTTTTTCTGGAGTTGAGTTGATGATGCCGTCCAGGATGCTATCTATGCCGTTTGATAGTACTAGTACATAATCTTTCAAGAATTTTCCTTTAGATCCTTGGCACATTCGGAGACCTTTACCCAAGTTTGAGGTTTCAACAGTCCACTTGATCATTTCCGATTGTGGGTCAGAAGATTGCAAATTTCTTCTGTAATGTTGAACAATAGTAGGTTTCATATAGTATGTTATAGTATCGAGAACATCTTTACCGAGACTGACCGATCCTTGCACGTTGATTTTTACACCAGTAGCAAAACTTAATATTCCTGCAAAATATCAATGATGATTTTTAAGACAAAATAGTGCATTCCTAAAGATATCGTCCTTGTTACAATATATTTTCTATCTTAAAATTATTTCCCACTATTTGTTACAGATGAGATTAACGACTGACTGAATGGATTGAAAGCACAAATGCTACTACAAATGCCAACTCTTTTAATTGGAAGTGCATATTTGATTAACAAATAAACTGCAAATGGAGAGCTACCATGTCAAGGTTACATTAGATATTAACTAATTTGTAGGTAGAATTCATTATTCCACAATAGATAGCCTGATGTTTAGATAGATAGCCTGTATTTATACCTGCGTCAAAGAACATATAACTGATGTCAAACACCGTCGCGTAAACAAGTCTGCAGTCTGCGAGCATGTCATGGATAAACCTACACATTCAATGAAGTTTGACAAACCCCAGGTCCTTGCAAAAGAAGTCCGTTATCTACCCAGGATGCTGCGAGAGGCCATTGAAATTAAAAAATATCCTAATTTCAACAGGGAAGATGGTTTCTCCGTACCACCAGTTTGGGATCCAGTATTTCCTCTAATGAAAAATCCCAAACAGACATAAGACTGCAGTACTAATTCCTATGTTTTAGTATATTCTAATTTATATTAATAATTAATAATAAATTGAACATAATAAAAATTCATTCAATAAAATAATTTGTAAAACTTAATGTAGTGTAAATTGGAACGTTTTCTTTGTAAAATTAAAAATAAGGTATTTAATTAATAACTATTGTAACTATAGTGAAAAAATAAGGTGGTTTGCATCAATATTAGATATTAACTAGGTACTTGTTAACCTCACATATCAAAAGAAACATCTACAAGTAACCTTACCTAAAACAATCAACCAATACTTTAAACACTCCATCAGAATAACAAATACATTCGTGTAATGAATATCACATTGGACTTTTATTTTATATTATTTGTAAGCAATAAAATGAAAATGAAATATATTTTATGTGACGCCGCCGTACTGCGTTGTAATAAATTTTATTTCAGGTGTACTCAAGTGAAACGCAGCATGGTAATAAATTTATAGAAGACGTGATTGCGCTGTCCTTTTCGACATTGGTCGTAAATTTTATAAAGCTTACATACAGTCATCGAGTATATAACCAGCATACAGTTTAGGAAAATAGTTATTTTTGTTATGCAAAGTTGTTGTTTGACGCGAGTGGTTGTATTGAAGCGAAGTGGTTCTAAAATAGAATCCTGAGCGTAGCGAGGGTTTCAAAACATCTTCGCTGCCGAGCGAAACATACAACTTTTCACCTCACTATAGCGAGGAAAATGGTACATGAAAGAAAAACAGTAAACTATAACAAATCAGTTTTAATAAACAAAATTAGTTATCGTTGTCAATTTAAAGTCCACAATAATAAGAATAAAATATACCAACGGATTTATATTAGATAAATAATGTACGACAAATCGCGCAATTGAACTAGTGCTTAAATTCTCTTTGAGTTGAACGTGTCACTACGTTTTTTTTTTCATGGAAAGAAATAGTTGTTGAAAGAGGTGAAAATTAATTGCTGACCTAAGGAAACCCATATCCAGAAGATGTTTACAAAATTATTGATATCTCATGACTCTCCTGAGACAGGATATCGGAGCCTTTTCTTAGAGATCCTGGCTCATTAGTCATGGAGTTGCATATATAAAACGTAACATTTTATGAATGGATATAAGTATAATACAAAGAGACTTAACTGACATAGACCAATAATTACTTCCATAACATAAGATTCATAAGCAGCGAGGTCAATGAAACGAGAAACGGAGCTTAGAATGATTCTCCCCATTGAAAAATTTCCATTAAATTTTGTTGTGAAGTGGCTCTCAGCCTTAGAGACAAAACGCTCTGAAATGTTCTAATCGTAATGACGTAATCAGTCGGTCTGTATCCCGCCCGACAGTATTGTTAGTATCGTGGTTACAAATGTGTAATTTGAAAATCAATTTCGATGAACACTGCATTGCAACAAAATTCTTGTAAATGTATAAAGCAAGCTCCTCTAACAGCATGCAGTTCTAAATGCAGCTACGACATCTGCAAATATTTGTACCGAAATTGATCTTTCTTAGCTTGATGATTCAGTTCTATTACAGTGGAACTCTTATGCAGAAAATTACGTATAAAAAGATAAATACTCAAACGTTAACAGAAATAATAATAATAATAATTAAATAAAACAACATGTATGCAGCATTAGAACAAATTCAAATAAAAACCACGTGAAATGAAACGTTAACAAAAATCATAGACAAGTCTTTCAACGTGCAGATTAAAAATTATGACACAGACTAAACGTTGATGTTTTGGCATCATGACTGAAAGCGCCATCTAGTAAATAAAGAGGGCAACCTAAAGTTTTACTTCAACATATTTTTAATGTTATATGATTTTGTATATAGATTACGTCTATTAGAATTTTTAATAATGAAGTGTGTGTTCGTTAGATTCACGGAACCAAGATATTTTTTGTTTCCAATTTTGACGAGTGAAAAGTCTACTTATAATCCATCCACTTAAACACTCAGCACTCAAATATACTACAATAATTTACTATCCGTTTTTTTAATTTTAGGTTAGTAATATATTTTCTTTAAATTGAAATAAATGTTAGTGTACGAATCTTTGAGTAGATGTCGCTACGGGTGACTTCATAAGAAAAAATTATGTATCTGTTTCTCTAACCTATTCTGTCAATGTGACGTTTCGTAAATTTTTCACTCTTTCCTTTCGGCCATTTTTGCCGAAAGTTTGGTGTTCAGTTTGGGTCGCGAATCTTTTCGTGGCCTATAGATCACTGTATTAAAATCTAATCAAGATGGTGCAGAAGAAGGTAAAAACCATGTGCGTTTTGTTAATAATTATATTTTTGTGTAAAGAAGTGAGAAATCTGAAACTTTGCCGTACGTGATTGGCGGGTCATGCAATAGTTTTGGTTGTTTTCTAGTTGTTATACTTAGATATTTATTGATAACTTCTCGTCGATGGTGATCGAATTGTGTATATTTTTTGTCAGAAGTCCTTACGGCGTCGTTCAGTGCAATGAATCCTAGAATTTATGAAATGTTTACAACCTAACCTATACAAATGCCATGATGTCGAAGTTACTGCTAAATTATCACAAAAATCCATGACACCTCGTGTTATTAAACTGCAATCTTGTGTGACGTATACTTAAGGCTTATCTGTATTTTTAGCCGAAGAAGAAGGTTGGAAAGAAGGTAGCCGCCGCTCCTTTGGTGGTGAAAAAAGTTGAACCCAAGAAGTTTGTAAACCCTCTCTTCGAGAAGAGGACAAAGAATTTTGCTATTGGTGAGTTGCTCATTCTAAATTTTACTTGAAAAGATAACCTTATTTCCAACAGTTTCTTGTACAGTGAACAACACATCAATCTATGGCTATCTGTTAATTTCAGTCTCGTCATCTATTAATTGCTGGAAACCTTATGGTTACCACTATAATGTTCGTTTTGGTGATACTTGAAGGTGTAGATGGTGTGCTTCGCCCATAGTTACTGACTTGGTGACTTTTAGTTTTGGACTTGCAGCTTGAGCATGAAAATGATGAACATCAAATGCAACTATGAATCAAAATGATTATCAAACAAAATACACGAGCTTTTTAACTCTGAAACTCTCAACAATACTTCAAAAACTAGTTAAATGTGTTTAAGTATTTTAAATACTACCCAACTTTCAGGTCAGGATATCCAGCCGACTCGTGATCTGTCAAGATTTGTCCGATGGCCCAAGTACATCCGCATCCAGCGCCAAAAGGCTGTGCTGCAGCGCAGGTTGAAGGTGCCTCCGCCAATCAACCAGTTCACGCAGACCCTTGACAAGACTACAGGTTAATTATTTTCATTCTTTTATACTTCTCTGTAAAATTTGGCAGTTAGCATGACAGGTTAGCAAGAATAAGATTTAGTTTGTAGTAGCATCCTGCAAATTGTATTTTTTAAACACACAAAACAATCATTATATGCCATATATTTGTAATATGTATTTATTTAATATTATTTAACTTGACATATGTAGACATATGCCTCCGAAGTTCTATAATTATTGACATACTAGCATAGACAAAAAATGCAATACTTCCTGGACTCTTTTATTTTTTAATTTTAGTGAAGCGACATGCTCTTTAGCTCTGATACTTATTGAGCCAACAGATTATGTAACAAAGATTATTCAAGTTGATAAGTTTTGGTACCTGTTTAATAAATTGTTATGAAATTAAATCAATTATAAGTAATTATTATAAATTCTTGTTTATTATAATGAATTGTCAGAATTTTCTCCATATGAATGGGAATCATCACTTAATGTTAATGAGGATGATACAAATTGTCAAACGCAACATTATAATTCCAATCAGAAAGAGAACCCGCTCACATTCATGACTAAAACGGTTTCATAAATAAATCGACTGTTATAAAAAATCAAATCAGAAACATTAGCATTAGGACGTCACTAATTGATTAGAATTCAAGCTGTCAAAAGTTAAGTAAATTGCTGGATGAAGTATATTTGACATAATATATTTATATCAGAAATCCTTACATCACTGTTGGTGTTAATTCACTAAGAAAAGTTAATATTTTGATATCTTAACATGATATAGTTATGTCCATTGGAAAAAAGTAGGTTGGGACTAGTTAAAGATTACTACTTCTTTAACTCGTACAGTTGAGAATTGGTTTGGTGGTTTATATTTTTAATAAATAGTTACCACTATTTATTTTGAGTGACTTTTGTATTATTTTCTGTTAAAATGTATTTTTGGTTAATAGTATATTGGCACATAATTGGTATTGTGTGCCAATAAACATCTATGGAAATTAAACTAAAAAGTAACAAATAGTGGTGTCATGTCTATATGGAATTACTTATGAGGCAAATTATACATAGGGCGCACTATAAGTTTCCAGAACTGGCCACTTACATAAACAATATTTAAAAAGTACATAAGCCATATTTAAAAAGTAATTTGAAAATGGAACCCTGGCTGTTGAATACAGTTTGTTGATATTGATGAATTTTTGAAGGTGAACAACGTTGACCTTATGAGAAATCCCAAGTACGGTCCCGACCTGGCACCTTGTAACTTTTATTTATTTCCAAAAATTAAGAACCAGTTATGCAGTCAACGATTTTAATCACCTGAAGAGGCTGTCGAAAAATATGTTTCAGAGATTGTCACGGCGGAGTGGCATAAATGTTTTGAAAATTGGTTCATTCGTATGAAAAAGTGCATTAATGCTAATGGAGAATATTTTGAGAAACAAATTCATTTCTGACCATTTATAGTATTTTTTTCTTATTCATTCCTGAAACTTATAGTGCACCCCACGTATTTTAAATTATATACGAGCTGATTTCATTTAATGCCATGATATTATAAGTGATTTAAATGGTAAAACTTGGTATTGGTGAGTAGAATCACCTCTTGATGCAGATGTTTTAAGATCACTGTAATTATTTTTAAGAACTTATTTATGCTTAGTTTATATGATGATTACCAAATGCAACTATGAATCTCTATGATTATCACAAAAATATACGAGCTTTTTAACTCTGACTACTTTTTTCCTTATTAAATTTTCTAGCCAATTTAAAACCAGTTTAATAAAGATGTTTCATTTTGTTTTAGCAAAGGGTCTGTTCAAAATCCTGGAGAAGTACAGACCAGAAACCACCGCTGCTAGGAAAGACCGCCTAAGGAAAGCTGCTGAAGCCAAGGTGAGATATAACAGACTAATATTGGTTGCAATGAATATGATATTTTACTGCCATGATATAAATTTTTTTTTGGGAAATTGTTCTAGTGTAGTTATAATTAATAAAAGGAAAAATTCCTTCAATCTGACAGGACATGTATCTGCATCTATGCCAAACCAGGGCCACCACTCTAGCAACTGGTCCTGTTAGATCCAAGGAATTTTTCTTTCTGTTCTGTCTTTGTAGTAGTAAGTCTACAAACTGTTTTTGATAGTAGTAACAATTGTTTTTAAACTGTTCAATCAATCCTTGTTTTTTTTGATTATTAAAAAAAAATGAAATTCTTGCTTTATTAAATCTTGATAATTATTATTTCTATTGAAGATATACAAAAAGAGTAATTCATTATGTATAATTCCTCCACTGTCTCCTACGCATTTTGTTACACGTCACTATTAAAGGAACAATTGCATAACTCAAAAAGTCATGATGCATAAAAATCACAGCAACCTAGTGCCATGAGGACTTTGTGACCACCAAGATCTCTGATGATTCTGTCCACTATTTAGTTTGTCTGTACTCAAAGACCTTTTATTTAATATTGTTTAACTATACAGGTGGCGAAGAAAGATGAGCCTCCACCAAAGAGGCCTAACACCATCCGCTCTGGCACCAACACAGTGACCAAGCTGGTGGAAAAGAAGAAGGCACAGCTTGTCGTCATCGCGCACGATGTTGACCCCATTGAGGTGAGAATTTTTTGCTTTTGATGGTTTAAAATGTATCTATTCCAGTTGTGCTAGAAATTGATGCGTTCCTGGCCGTGTATCGATTTACGCATTTAAAATTGGTTATTATTGAATCCATCAGGGTCTCATGAGAAATAATAGTGAAGCAAAACAATATTTGTTTACTATAGGTTGTTTATTGAATGATTGAAAATAGGAAACAGTCTCTGTACAGGGATGTTTTTGACATGGGCTTCCTAATTACTAAAGGAAACTATGTAGTTTTGTCCCATAACTATAAACTCCGCTTCCCTTGCCATTTTCAATCATATTTTTGAGGCATTTTCTTGCAAGAACAAATTATTGTTTTTATTTTTCCAAGAATATGTGTATAATGATGCAATGGATTCCATCACACATCAGACTAGAAGGCAATGAAGTAGTAGATAAATTAGCAAGAGAAGCTATCACGGAATACATGGAACCATCATGTAAACTTGTGACTTTTAGACTACATACTGGCCACTTTCCCTTAAATAAGTTCTACCATCTAATAAGAAGAGCGGAATCTCCACTACGTAAATTCTGTAACAAACTTGAAGATATGCTACATATAATGGAATATGGCCATTATGTGGCTCTAAGAAGCCAATTTCAATTAGGGGATATTTGGCAGGTTGGAGAGTTAAAGGTCGTGTTGGGTGACCCGTTGGAGAAGAGGGCTAAAACTCTATACTCATATGTGATGTCTTGTCTGTCACGGGGCGACACGATATAGTAGAATGATATAATCCACAGAGATTGACATCACAAGGCCGACATTGACACCCAAGTGTTACAGCCCTTATTAGAAATAAGATTAAAATGAAATATATTTTTTTTCATTCTCGTCAACAATGTTTGCAGCCTTAGGTGCTTCATTTACCTAATTGAGATCCTGTCTAATAACTTCAAAATAATTAGGGTTTTTAGAATATATAATTGTATTACATTATATATTATACAATATAGATCACATGTTATTATATGGTTGGTCAAGTGGTAGCAATGCTATGATGTTAGAATTTCTTCACCTGAGGCTTGCAAATGACACTGCCAGGGCATGTTAAGATTTGCAAGCTGCCTGAAGACAAATGACTCTGAGCAGTACACATTGAGTTTTTTCCAGAATCTTGTAAAACCTTTCTTACTTTATTAATGTCTTTCGTTGTATTTACAGCTAGTACTGTTCTTGCCAGCGCTGTGCCGCAAAATGGGAGTGCCTTACTGCATTGTCAAGGGCAAGTCCCGCCTAGGAGCTCTTGTACACCGCAAGACCTGCACATGCTTGGCGCTTACCAACGTTAGTATTATTTTTTACTTTCTTATTAAGTCTGATACTGGTTATATTACTTCTGTGACATTAATTAACATACTATTTGATTCTGTGTAATTACCGTTTGCGTTTGCTTCTGTCACAGTGATTAAATTTATCGAATCTTCTTATATTTACGAGATGGCATATGGTGATGATTAATTTGCTATCTTAAGGCCATGATGACAACCTTTCTACCACCAATAGATTTTTTCTGAATATGCCATCCGAAAAACGCTTTTTCATAATACATATTACAGTAACTAGCATATAATAACTAACATCATAAACAGCTTTTGGTAACAAAACATAATTTTACCAAAAACAAACTTTTATTTTTGTTATACTATCTGACACCTTTCTGTATTTGGTAGAATAAGTTCAAATGTGCAAGCGTCCTCCGCGACACACCCACCCCCGTCGTACGTAGAGTTATTACGTTTAGAGCGATCTATTTAAATCTGTTTATTTTTGTATGAAAGTAAAATCTGTTGAATTATTAAAAGTCATGGAACAAAGTTGTTGTTTAATGTTAGTAATATAGTCCTGCGAGGTTTGGCAGTACAATGTTACTTATAATTTCACTTGAGGAGACACATACGACACTTGGGTCAAGGTCTTAGGTTTTGAAGGGTAAAGGTGCTTGTGAAACTTCAGACATGGGACTTCTCAACTCGTGTCTCGGGTGACTGACGCAGTGGCAGTGTCTCTCGAATCTTTGCGATTTAAAGCTTTGAGTGGCACTGCAACTGCTATGGACTATGTATGAGCACCGCATCGGCGCGCCGCCACCGCCGCTTCTGTCCCCACGCTGCCGCCACCGCCACTGCCGCTTCTGTCCCCACGCCGCCACCGCCGCTTCTGTCCCCACGCCGCCACCGCCGCTTCTGTCCCCACGCCGCCACCGCCGCTTCTGTCCCCACGCCGCCGCCGCCGCCGCCGCCGCCGACAAATGCAATCGGCCCGCCGTTCAGTTCACTTCGATGAGAGGCTCCGATCGTACTCACGCGCACGCTTCTGTATTGTGTATGCGTAGTGAAAATAGCGACGCCAAAAATTAACATTTCTAAGATAAAACTTAGTGACTTTATATTCGAAGATGTTTTGTTTATAACATTAATGTGTCAGTTCCTGGCGTAGCCATTTTCACTACGCATACACAATACAGACGTGCGTACGATCGGAGCGCCTGATCCAACTGATAAAAATTGTGTTACTATAGAAAATACGTTATTTTATTTTTACTTTGAATTAATATTTGTATAACGGTTTTTGTAAAAACAAACACCATTATACAAATTCGTTTCATGGTCACGCTCGCGCCGTCGAAACGTCGCCGGCGACACTTTTTCGTCGGCACTCTCCGTCTATTATCGGCGCTCATATTTACTATGGACAGGCGTGTCGCTTACCATCAGCCACGTCCTGTTCGTCCCGTCTCTTGGTATCATAAAAAAGCTACTTGTATAATGAAAACATGCAGTTACATACTCTCGAAACTTTAATTAGTTACATTATTAGTTTGGTAGCGTACTTATTTATTCAATTTGTGCAGGTGGAGTCCGGAGACCGTGCATCGTTCACGAAGGTCGTAGAAGCGATCAGGACGAACTTCAACGAGCGCTACGAGGAACTGCGCAAGCACTGGGGCGGCGGCGCGCTCGGCAACAAGTCGAACGCGCGCATCGCGAAGCTCGAGAAGGCCAAGGCGCGTGAGCTCGCGCAGAAGCAAGGCTGAGCTAATAAACTTTAACACCTAACTCTTGTCTTTTATTGAATAGAATAGAATAGAATAGACATTTACTGCAACGCCACAACACATAGATACAAAAAACAATATTGATACCACTTAGACAAGCAAAACAAAACAAAAAGACGTAATTAACAAAATGAAAATAAAATAAGACAATAACAAAAAGCAAAAAAGAAAAATACTAAATAAAACTCAACAAATGTTGTACTGTCATGTGTGCGGTTGTGGCGTACGTAAAATACTTCATTTATCATAGCCGTAATTGACTGTGGCGCTGATTTTCAATGAGCCCTGAGCTGAGATGAGTGACGGACGTGTGTGTCGCAAAATAAAATCAACTTAAGCAGTTTAATTTAATAATTGTTTGTGTTCTTTGTACGTTGTGTTAATGCTGTGCGTTATATTATAGAACGTAGTTATTATAGAATAGGTATTATAGAAAGTAGTCTATTGTTTGAGATTTAAGTCTACTCATGTTGCAAATCGTTTTTTTTTTTTGGATCTAAATGTAAAATGTGTTACAGCTGACCATAACCATGGGACTTGTACTTGTACAGGGCACAAAATGTTGCTTAGTTGTAAACAAATTACGCTATTAGATCTGAAAAAATAATTTCCTGTGTGTAACAATCGCGAAAACCTGAACCCTATATCTAAGTTGGATTTACAGAGACGGTTACACGATCCATCTTTTACCACGTTAAACGAAGTATTCGATCTAGTATTACTTGGTCAATAAATTGCCTCTGTGGCCTAACGGTATCATGCTGGACTGTCACGCAGAGGTCCCGGCCCGGTAGAAATATTTGTACGACCTATAATTGTAAGTCAATGTACGGCCTATATGAAGGATTCGTATATTATGCGTCTCCAATCACGTTCGACTACTTATCACACTGCACCGCGTCGGAGGCAGCGGTCTAGTGGTCCCGCACCATTTAAAGTACTCTCTTCGCAGTTGACCACCGGAGTGATTGTACATGTATCCAAGATCCTTTGACAAGAATGGTTAATAATACAAAACTCATTCAGGACTTCAGTTATACAGTCTATTTGGTTTTTGCTTACTCGTATAAAAAGACACCGAAAATAACATTCAACTTCATTACAAAGACTTTTAAGAAAATATGAAGATAAATTTGGTCGATTTTCAATAGCGAATATAAATTTATTGACGTCGAGACCTATTGTAGAAAACTGAACATTTTAACATTAAGCTTAAAAATCTGCGCGGTAGTGCGGAGCGCAGTGTGCCATACCGTGCGGTTGGCCGCGCCCCTCCGAGAGAAGCGTTGTCAGTGTGTTCGACGGCGCGTGTTTTCCATCAAATCCAAACAGGTACTTCAGTACAACGTTAGAAAACGCAGCTCCGTGCTCCGTCGTGTGTCCGTCAGGATGGCTGGACTATTTACTACCTATATTCTATTTTTTCCACTATTTAGTACCTTGTACTTTCTACCTTTGCGTTAACGGAAATATTAAAGAAATAAAGTGACCAACCATTCTGATGTCAGGTTGGCTGGACCACTTTACAGTTTTCATGGTTCTAGCAGTTTATAATTTACTTTTTTTATATCACTATTTACTACCTAATTTCTATTTAACGAATTATAATCAGTTATTTATTAATTGCTTTATAAATAACTGATTATAATTCGTTCGCATTTCTTAATACCTGCAAATGGAATTAACGTTCGTAATAATGAATTCAACTAGTAATTAACGGAATAATTGTTATAAAGATAATCCACAAACCATTGTTGGCATATTCTAAGCGCTTAAATAAACATTACACGGAGAAGATAAACTGTCTTTTTAGAAGGTAACTTGCAAAGGCGTTTTATTATTTTTTGAAATAACTTTTTATAGAAGCTTCCTAAAATAGTAAAAAAAGTATGTTTAGGTAGTAAATAGTTATATAAAAAATGTAAATTAAGTACTGCTAGAACCAAGAAAAACGTAAAGTGGTCCAGCCAACTTGACATCAGAATGGCTGGCCACTTAATTTGTTTTATATTTCTGTTAGCGATAAGGTAGAAAAAAAGTACTAAATAGTAGATAATAGGTAGTAAATAGTGAGTACAGTTTGATTTGTATATCTCGTTTGGTCCAGCCATCCTGACGGACACAATTGTGCTCGCTTATAGAATAAATGTTTGTAAAGTAATTAAGAACTCCATTCACGGAAAATAAATTCCGTTGCTTGTCCACGGAAGAGCACGAAACAACTGAAGCACTAATTTACTTGTAATTCAAGTAAATTCGTCAATGTAAATGACGGATATAATTGACGCTGCCTGAGCAGAAGACGAAGGTAGAGACTTCTAAACTTTGGACTCACTAGAGGTACCTATTATATGTACTTAATTTAATACTATGTTGATTTTATTTTACGTGTGTAGTTGTTATTTAAATATGTAATTAGATTAATGTAGTGCTCATTTATGTGGCACTACATGCAGTGGCGGATTTGCAGTCATGGCCGCCCTGGGCCTCAGGCCATGTTAACAGTACCAGCCGCCTCTTTCTCTGCACTCATATACCTACTGGTAGACATATCTATATTTTATAAATAAAATGACGAAAGTGATTTAGGAACATTATTGTTATAAGATGCGGTGCAGTGCGGCCCGCCATAATGTGCGTGAGCCTTTAAAATATTTAAGTACTTTGAATTATTTCTTGTTATAATCAGTGAATTTTTTATCACGATTTATTTTATTTTAAGTACGATTTTATGTATTAATTAAATTACTGATACCAGGCCTAAGTTTTATATGTACAGCGCCATCTATCCAATAAAGGCGAAACTCGCAGCGCGACACCCTAGTTCCTACAGTTCATGCAATTTCGCATAGGAGTGCATCGGTTTCGTTATTAAGAAACTAGATGGAGCATTCTGTTCAACTTCGATTATGAGGCGACCCGTGCCCTGCAGTGAAATGTACGTAATTGATTATATATAAAATGTATTATATATAATTGATTATATATAATTGATTTGATGACTGATTATCAATATTTTTATTAGGTACCATTTTATATTCAAACCCATACAGTCATGACGACTTGTTATGCTAGAGTACAAACTGCAAGTAACAAGGATAATGCTAGAGGACTGTCTGAGATGATGAGTGGCATCTGTCTTAAGAGTGTCCTGGCAGAATACCAGCGCGTCATGACTTCCAAAACAAAAAAATGCCTTCTATTGTTTGTTATTTTTAAAATGGTTTAATATAATAATTATAGTGCTAGTTTTAATTGATTTTAGTAAATAAGTTGTCATAGAAGTGACGTTTTTATCTATTATTTGTTATCTATTATTATAAGTACTATAATCATTGTTTATATTACATTAGAACAGTTTTCCAACAGGTCTACATTGAAATTTCCTCATACTAATATAGTTTTTTTGGTTGGTAAAATCTGTTATAGACTATCTTCCATGGTTAATTGAAACTTATTGAAATTAGCAGAGAGGGCCTGTATACACATAATACGACAAACTGATCCAATTCCACACATGAAATTTCAGTAGTCTGTTGAATAGGGAGATCTGTGACATCCTTACGCTCTTTAAATTATAACATAAGCTTAATAATAATTATTGATCCGCCTCTACTTAAGTTCTTTCTTATGTACAAACTGACTATTACATAATTTTCTACGTTGTTAATTACTTCGTAGTCTTTCAACCAGTGTTCTGGTACACAAAACACTTCAACGGAAAAATCGCGTAAAAAAGACTTATTTCTAATGTTTTGCTAGAAAAGCCCTGAATGTTTTGATGTACTATATGGAAATGGTTAGACTTTTCTGTTGTCGTGTTTACTAGTTTAAATTATGGTTACTGAGTATAATGTTGCTACCAGGTAATTGGTGTACCTAGTTATCTGGTACATCTAACGTTATATTACTTTTGTCATAAAATTATGGTTACTAAACTGTATAAGTACTACTTTTTATATGATCTTGCTGTCCGCTACAGATAAAATGTTTTTATTCATTTTAGAAGACATTCGTAGTCGCTAAAGAAGAAAAAGCTATATAAATAAATCGACTCAAATGCAAAAGAAACGTATAGAAATTAATAAGCAAAGTTTAACTGCTATTTAGATTCGATTTGCATTCATAAAATATCTTTTAAGCACTTTCCTCAAGATAAATCAATCATTCTTGATATTTGGTATGTAAGGAATTAGTTTAGGAGTGTAAGTAATAGAAATAAAAGGGGTAGCAAACACGCGTTCGTATTAAATAAATTAAATGTCTTCACAAAGGAAAGCGTAACTTGACGACGCATTCCGGCGTTATTATGTAAACTTAATAAATTACCGTGCTCGCATAATGGTTCCGTACAAGAGCCTTAGTACGCACGCGCGGAATCCCTACGAAAATGTAACAGGTACGGATCACGAAGAGCTCCCTGTTTCAGTCACTCAGTCGCGTAAAACCGCACGCTCGGCGCAAGCGTGTTGACGGACTCACTCATCTATTCCTTTTTCAAATTCTTGAAAGAAAAAAGTAAAACAATACATTTGTTCGACCAATTAAATTCACGAATTCAAATATGGAATCGAATCGTGATTTGACCGTTGATAAAAATTCCATATGGCCGTATTTTGATACTGAATTGGTAAAGTTGTTACAATTTGTAAGTGGTGTGTATTGACTATTCGTGTTTTGTTTGGTGATAATTTGTGATAGCTGTGATGACAAGTGGATATGGGTGTGATAATGATAACTGTTTATGGGATTGGATTGTACGATGCACTGGTTTTCATGGTAAGTCTACCACTGCACACGTGCTTTAAGTCCTAAGTTTAGAAAAGTGCTAATAAGTACTGTACCTAGATGGTAATTCCCTTTTTAGTCATAATTTGGTAAGGAGTATTTTTATAGACCTTTACTAATTTGGTTGTTTAATTTTTACGTACATAAAAAATGGACAATTATTTACAATTGCAACAAACGTTGACGTCAATTTGTTGAGAAAATTACCATCTCTAGGAATGAAACATAAAATGACCTTAATTATAATTAGATTTAAAAAATCTCAATTCCAGGATTCCAAAACTGTAACAGTTAATTTCCTTTCCAAAAACCATAGAAATAGCAACGGAAGATTGTATTTCAAGACTTTAGAAAATGTTTATAATTTTGGAAGTTTATTCCTCTACTATTTTACAAGAATATATCACTTAACACATTTCTTATTACTACTATGATTAACTATATTAATTATTATATCCTAGAGAAAGGGTAAGTCAAATACCCTTAAGCGACTGGCATGTATGAAAGCTCTAATTCGTGTTGATAAGGAGAAAGACGTGTGTCACGATCGTAGCAAATGGAATGCTCTTGTCTCTGGCTACCCCGATGCGAAAAGGACGTGAAGTATATTCATGTATGTATTTATATTCTATTGATGAATTTGAAGTACTCAACCGATATTTGCCTATGTAATTCCTCCAGACGCTTAAACAATTTAAATTATTATTGATAGATACAATTAGTATTTTTATTCAACCATAACTTTACCTCTACAATTTTATTAAAAGCTTTATCAAGAGGTACTTAAAACCTCTTCCCCAGCAACAAACATACATGTATATAGAAAAACGAAATTACAGAGTGAATTACAAGGTACTACCTACTTAAGAATTCTCTATTCATATGGCATATAAAACCCTGAAGAATGAAAGCAAGTATACCTCTAATAACCGTAGGATGTTAAGTGGTACTTAAGTAAAAGTTCCTTCGAACAGAATAACAAGAGGAAGCGTAAAATTCTTGATACAAAGTTTGCTTTGCATGGTAGTTTCATTTGCAACCGACTTAAAAAAAGAGGAGGTTCTAGATTCGACCGTATTATCTTTTTTTTGCATGTATTTTACGTGATAACCTTCTTTAAAATTTGTCAACCGATTTCAATGAATCTGTTTTTGTTGGAAAGAGGGTAACTCTGTAGTGGTCCCATTTAAATTTGAATGAAATATTCTACCTCTAAAGGTGGCAAACTAGGAAATGAATCCAGTTTCGCACACTTTCCAGTAACCGATATCAATAAATCTTAATGGTAATTGGATGTAATTCCACGAATTTTTGAGGTCGGTTAGTATAAGAATACAAGTATATAAAAACAGTACATATCGCACTGCTATTACAATAGTGTTGTAACTCAAAATATGTGAAATTAAAGATTATGCTATTGCGGAACGTAAAATTTTATTCTCTTCACGTCAATAAAACCGTCGTTAAAATATTGTAAGAAACAATTAAAATACATCTACTTAACTCAAAATGAGACAAACTTTTTGCAAACTAGTTCTGGATAAAACAGTCTCACTAAATAAGTTTCTAAAAATATTAAGTTATTTTTCCTTTTATTTGGCAAGTAGGGAGTTGTTTAGATGTCTGTAATAAATGAACTTTAACCTATACATACATTTTAATAATATTTCGCTGGAAGTGAGTAATTCGTTTTTCATTGATTCTGAAAAAAATATACTTTTTGAGTTAATACACTATTGTATTAACAGTGCGATATAATAGAAAAAAAAGTTATTTGGTGTTGTTTTGGAGCGCGGTGCCATTTAAGTACTGTCCATGAACAGGTTAAATATATAGGATTTTTTTTTAAATACCAATATCGAGACGAACAAGTTGTGTGTCTGGTGGTAAGCGTCACGCCTGTCCCTGACAGTTGCAGTGTCACTCAGACCTTTAAATCGCAAAGATTTCAGCGGCACTGCCACTGCGACCGTCACCGTGAGACATAAGTTAACGCTTCCCACGTGCCTGTCATTTAAAAAAAAAACAATAACCACCCACTAACCACCACCACTAACCACTTCGAAATCGGAACGCAGTAATGTTCACATTACTGCTTGGCTGCCGAAATAGGTAAGGCAGTACTTTCCTGGACGAACGCTTTCACAAGAAGCTCTACTGCTACTATAAGATTAGCAGAGAATTACTGACTTTTAACATATAATGGTAACTTGGTATTCTGTGCGTCACGTGGAAATATAATAATATTACTACTGTTAGGTGACGTAGAACAACTCTACCCCATTATATTAGCGTAGATAATGGGATTTTAGTTTTAGTTTTGGGTCTACTAACATTTAAGTTAACCCAAAATTACGCAGTCAGAACGAACAACGTGATATAGGGCCCCTGTGAGGAGAAGCTGATGTAAATATTACTACTCGTAACAATGGCGCGCAACCTTAGCTTACCTAATAAGGCCACATTTACAACATTTCAGATTTACGTTTAAAGATTGTACGACAGACATTGGTTGATAATTTTTTTTATATTTAAATAGGAGTCATGCAATTTCAAGTAGTTCGTAATTTATTTACGTAGTCCGGATTATTTTTATGTCTTTCAAGCATTGACTTACAAATAAATGTAAGTCAATGCTTTCAAGTGATTAAAGAACTTTTGACGTATGGCTTAATTATAGTATACGCGGCGTTCGTGGTGCGTGCGGCGTAACGTCATATTTCATGCACTCCAACAATATTTGGAGAAGTAAATATAAAAAATACAAATACAAATATTCTTTATTAAACACGGATAAATACATAATAACAATACAACAAAAAGTAAAAATTACAGGTACAACAGGCGGCCTTATTGCTAAATAGCAATCTCTTCCAGGCAACCTTCGGGTTACAGGAAAAAAAAAATGTATGTTATTAAACTAATACGTTTTTGTAAAATAAAAACACTTTATTCTTTACTACAAAACATGTCGCTCTGCTATTACAATAGGTAATGTTGTCACTCAAAATACATGAAATTCTAGACACGTCAATAAAAAGATATCTACTTAACTCAAAAAGAGACAAACTTTATGTGAGCTAGTTACTAATAAAATACTTTAAAAACTTACTAAAAAATATGAAAATATTTTTTCCTTTTTATTTTTAAAGAACTTGGAATGTATGCAATTGTTTAGATGTCTATAATAAACTTTATTTTATAATATAAATAATATTCTCGTGAAAGATTGTTAAAATAAATTATAATAATCTTTCACGGGAAGTGAGTAAGGTAATTAATTCATTTTATAATATTTAAAATAAAATAATTTGCAAAACTTAATGTAGCGTAAATTGGATGTTTTCTTTGTAAAATTAATAATAAAAAATAGGGTGATTTGCATCAATATTAGACATAACTGGTTGAAGACTGTATCACCTCAGTCAACCGTGACCATGGGACCTATAAAGGGCCCGAAACGTCGGTTTGTTTGAAAAAACAAATATACGCGATTTAAATCCGGAAAAATAGTTTCATTTCCTACGTGTAACAATCGCGAAAATCTAAGAACTCGATAGAAAATAATTGCTTAAAATTGGGTCAAAAAAAGGTAAGACTCGGCAATTTGTTGATTTTCAGGCTTCATCTAGAAAGTATTCGCCGCTGTAGACCTCGCAGTAGAGACGTGTATTTTTTCAGTTAATTAAATAAATAAGGGTATACCTTATTCACAGACGTCTCTGGCCGTAGAGCCAAAAGTCACTAAGTCGCAAATGGCCAATTTATATTGGCCATTTGCGACTTAGTCTCGGGTTGTAGCGCAGCTGAACGCGGCGGGTGCGTGTACGCTCACTACACGCGAATTATTGTTATCGCTAACATCCGAGTTCCTTATAATTACTGTACTCACAATTTATATTGACCATTTGCGACAGTCCCTATCTACCGACCCGAGAGATAGGGTTTTCCGGAGAAACTACGGCAAGATTAGGGTTCAGCGGGCGTCCGAGCCAAGCTCTCAGCTAGTGATACGCCTTTGCGTCGTTGGGCGTCTCTGGCGGACCCGGACTTGGGTATGGACTCGCTGGGGTTTGTGGTTAGCTGCAGAGACGGACATGTTTGTCTGCCCCGGTTGCATGTGTCCGGGGCGTCTGTCTCGTGAGCAGCTAGCGCGTCTTAGTGGCGGTCTAGTTGAGGGCCTGTATGCAAGGAGTCGCGCGGGACACGTGAGATGCTTTTTAAGTTGGAAGCTATGTCTGGACATTGTCGCAGGACACTGCGACTGGCATCTCCGGCACTAGCCCGAGCTAGTAGAGGATAAGCTAGATATCCTCCGGTCCCTCCAGGCGTTAAGTTATTGGGAACTGGAGAGACGTCGTTTTTCGGCGTCGGGAAGTGAGCGTGCCTTACTGCTCCGCCACCAATGAGGAGAATTGGTAGTGGACTCAGAGTCGACGGCTTAGCGGTGGCAACCGCTAGTTGTGCAATGCGCAACGGGAAGTGAGCGTGCCTACAGCTCCGGTACCTATCTGGAAAATAGGGAAGGTACTGTACGTGTACGGCTCACTCGAGGCACTAGCCTCTCGGAAAACCGGATGAAGTCAAGTGACAGAGATCTGTGACAACCCTGTACACTGGCTGATCTGGGATCAGAACCTGAACTTGTAATGTTCCTGTCCGCGCACAGTTCATAGTGCCCCTTACCGCATAACCAAGAGGTTGATAGGGAGGGGCACTATAAACAAAACTTATGTAGAATGACCATTTGCGACTTGGTGACTTTTCACTCTACGGCGATTAAATAGAACATTTATTTAGTGAATTACTTTCCGTATTAAATACAATTTTATCAAATTTGGCTAAATAGCTATATGGCAGTTAGGGCTTTCAGTTTCAGTTTCAGTCGTTACATTTTCGCGTCCAGGGGAAATAAATCAAGAATACGAGTGATTTCGAAAATTCCGGAAAAATCGAGATTTTGAGACTATTTCAAAAGTAGGTTTCCATAC